AATTGACTTAGATGAAACTAGAAGAAGCACGGTTAAGTTTGCTGATGACATAACACTTGACATAGAAGGGATTGGAAGTGTTGCAATTCATAGAAAGGATGGTAGAACTGCAATAATAGAAGATGTGTTGTATGTTCCTGGAATGACTTGCAATCTGTTGAGTATTGGCCAGCTGATTCAGAAAGGGTTCAAGGTCATTATGGAGAAGAACTTTTTCGATCTGTTTGATGCTAAAGGAAGATTGATCTTGAAGGCTCCACTTTCAGAAAATAGAACCTTCAAGGTTAACATTAAAGCATCTGAGGTTCATTGCTTGAAAGCCTCAGGATCCTTACAGGGCAGGGAGTCAAATTGGTTGTGGCGTGCTAGATTTTGTCACTTGAATTTCATAAGTTTATGCCAGATGGGAAGTGATGGTATGGTCTTGGGATTACCGACAACAACGATCCCAAAGAAGATTTGTGAAACCTGCTTTACAGGGAAGCAGACAATGAAATCTTTCACTGCTGAGTTAGCCATGAGAGTTAATGATCTTCTTGGGGTTGTTCAGTTTGACATTTGTGGACCCTTTGAAGTTAATTCACATGGTGGAAATAGATACTTCATCACTTTTGTGGATGAATTCAGCAGAATGTTATGGCTATTTCTCATTAAAGCCAAGAATGAAGCACTTGGTGTGTTCAAGAGATTCAAGGTAGAAGCTGAGAGACAAAGTGGTAAACTTCTGAAGGTGTTTAGGAATGATGGTGGTGGAGAGTATACTTCACATGAATTTGAGGAATTTTGTTCACAAAGTGGTATTCAACATGAGAAGACTGCACCCTATACTCCTCAGTACAATGGCTTGGCTGAGAGGAGAAATAGAACTCTACTTAACATGACAAGAAGCATGCTGAGGGAGAAGCACTTGCCACAAGAGTTTTGGGGGGAAGCAGTTTCCACAGCTTGTTATATTCTAAACAGATGCCCTACAAAGAGATTAAAGAAGCAAGTACCACTTGAGGTGTGGACAGGAAAGAAGCCCTTTGTTAACCATTTGAGGATTTTTGGGTCTTTATGCTTCAAGCATGTACCTGATCAGAAGAGGAGGAAGATCGAAAGAAAAAGTGAACCAATGATTCTTATAGGGTATCATCCAACAGGTGCATATAAATTGTTTGATCATGTGAAAAGACAATCTTGTTTTAGCAGGGATGTTCATGTTGTAGAAGATGAGCACTGGGACTGGAGGTTGAAACAAACTAGTCTCAACAAGGTTCACATTGCACCAGAGATGCTTGAAGAACAAGTCACTGATGGAGAAAGTGAGGAGCAACTACCTGCAAGACAAAGACAAAGACAAAGAAATCTACCTGCCAGGTTCAATGAATTTGAAATGGCAAGTGATGCTGACATTTCTGAGGAGGGTGAACTAATCCATTATGCACTTATGGCAGATTCTGAGCCACTTGATCTCAATGAAGCCTTGAAGCAATCAAAGTGGAGATTGGCAATGATTGATGAGCTTAAGGCAATTGAGAGGAACAAGACTTGGGAGTTAGTAACTCTACCTCAGAATAAAGTTCCAATTGGAGTTAAATGGGTGTATAAGCTAAAGTTAAATCCTGATGGATCAATAGCTAAACACAAAGCAAGGTTAGTTGCTAAAGGGTTCTTGCAGAGGCATGGACTGGATTATACAGAAGTTTTTGCTCCTGTGGCTAGGATGGAGACAATTAGAGTGGTTGTTGCTATGGATAATGAAAGGCAGTGGAGTTTACATCAGCTGGATGTAAAATCAGCATTCCTGAATGGTCCATTGGATGAGGAAGTTTATGTAACACAGCCACCAGGGTTTGAGATCAAAGGCCAAGAGCACAAAGTCTACAAACTTAACAAAGCACTTTATGGACTCAAGCAGGCTCCAAGAGCTTGGAATAAGAGAATTGATAGCTTCTTGGAGCAGCTGAAATTCATTAAGTGTTCAGTGGAGCATGGAGTATATGTGAAGAAACAAGGAGATGAGCACATCATGATCATTTGCCTCTATGTTGATGATCTGCTAGTGGCAGGATCAAATGTGAAAGACATTGAAGCATTCAAGATGGTTATGAGCTTAGAGTTTGAGATGACAGATCTAGGTGAGTTAACCTATTTTCTGGGAATGCAGTTTACTAGAACATCACATGGTTTACTTATGCATCAAAGTAAGTATGTGAGTGATATCCTTAAGAGGTTCAATATGGCTGGTTGTAATCCAGTAAATACACCTGCTGAGGTAAATGTCAAGATGAGAAGAAGTGATGTTGGTGAAGCTGCAGATCCTACATTGTTCAAGCAGATTGTAGGGTCATTGAGGTTTTTGTGTTCAAGCAGGCCTGATATTTGTTATGCAGTGGGTCTTGTGAGTAGATTTATGAGTGATCCCAAGCAAACTCATATGGGAGCTGCTAAGAGAATACTAAGATACCTGCAAGGAACTCATGATTTTGGAATACTGTTTCCAAATCAAGCTAAGTCTCAAAAGGCATTGCTGACAGGTTTTTCAGATTCGGATTATGGAGGAGATCTGGATGAGAGAAAGAGCACATCAGGGTATGTGTTTAGGTTCTTTGGAGCTCCTATTTCATGGTCTTCAAGGAAACAATCTGTGATAGCATTGAGTTCTTGTGAGACAGAATATATTGCTGGTTCATCTGCAACTTGTCAAGCATTCTGGTTAGATGAATTGTTGAAAGCCCTGCAGATTGAAGTGGAGAAGCCCTTGAAGCTGCTTGTTGATAATGTTTCTGCAATAAGCTTAGCCAAGAACCCCGTGTCCCATGGGAGGAGCAAGCACATCGAGGTGAGGTTCCATTTCTTGAGGGAGCAAGTACACAAGGGAAGGTTAGAGCTGGAGTATTGTTCAACAGAAGAGCAGGTTGCAGATGCATTTACCAAAGCATTGATGGTTGATCGTTTTGACAAGATGAGGAAGGAGCTTAGTGTGGTATCACTAAGGAGTTTGAATTAGAGGGGAGTGTTGAAAGGATAATTCAACTATATTGATCAATGACTGTAATAAGGACTGGTTGGTTAAGTTTGTTAGATAACCAATTAGTTAGTTTTCTGTTAGTTTGTTACATTGCTTTAAATAGCAAGTCTGATTGTAATAGCTAGTCAGAATGAAAAATAAAGAATCTTTCATTCTTCCTAATCTCTGATCTCTCTCTATTCTTCTCTTCCTGTTCCAACAGTTACATAGTTCAGGAATAAAAAATACGTCACTTACAATATGATTGTTTCCTCCGAACTCCAATTTGATGTTTCCCTTTCCCATTACTTCTAGCTTTGAGTTATTTCCAAGCTTGACTGAGTGCCTGAAGCTTTCATCTAACTGCATGAACTATTCCTTGTTTTCGGACATATGATTTGAGCATCCGGAATCAAGAAACCATACTCCTTCTTTCTTGTTTTGATGAGAATCTACTTGTGCCATCAGCAACATCTCTTCCTCTTCATTAAACTCGACATAATTCACTCTTTTCTCCCAGGTTGGGCATTCATACTGATAGTGTCCCAAATTATGACACCTGTAGCATTCCACCGCAGCCCTACTCGTGAACTGCCGGCCTCTACCTCTTCCTCGACCTCTCATCATGCCTCTGCCTCTTTCATATCGCTCCTCGTGTGTCACCTTCAGTGCCTGCTCCTCCTCATTTGATCCCTTCATTCTTTGCTCGTGGATAAGAAGACTGCTTTGGAGTTCATTAACGGTTAGAGTTTCCACATTGTTCGACTCCTCAATGGAGCACACAACATAGTTGAATTTTGGCACAAGAGACCTCAGAATTTTTGCAGTAATGTTGTTTTCTTTCACAATCTCTCCGCAAGCTTTCATCCGTTTTGCTATGGAGAGAGCTCGTCCAAAGTATACATTGACAGATTCTCCCTCTTTCATTTTCAGTATTTCGAACTCAGTCCTCAAGGTTTGAAGCTGAGCTCTCTTCACTCTAGTTGAACCTTTGAACTTTTGCTTCATTGAGTCCCATATCTGCTGAGATGTCATCATTCAGTATCGTCTCCATGATTTCTCTATCAATGGCTTGATAAAGATAATTCTTCACCTTTCTATCCTTCAACTGCTACTCTGCAATTGTTTTTGCCTCCTCATCAGTTGGCTCCCGGTTTTGTGGACCAACAACCACTCCATCCTCGACCAAGTTCCACATTTCTTTAGATCGGAGGAAATTCTCCATCAACTTCGCCCAATGCTCATAGAAACCATCAAATTTGGGAATTGCTGGTTGTATAAATCTACTGCTACTGCTACTTTCTGTCATTCTCACGGATTTTCCTTCTCGTGTTTAGTTTCCTAAACCTCTCTTTATCTAATTAGGCCTCTTTGACGAGGCTCTGATACCAATTATTGAGCAAGGTAAGAATACAAGTAATTGAAACTGTAAACTTTGCTTGATATTAAAAAACAGAAAGACGGGCTACATAAATAGCCTTACAAAAAACTGAACTTCCTATTTTTCAACACACTATGCTAAAGAATAGGACTTAACCTAGATACTCCTTTTGAATAGGAGTTTTATAACTGACTAAAAACAACTATTAATTCAAAACAAATATTAATAATCCAACACATACTTGGTGATGATCACAAAAACACCAGATGGAAAAAGGGGGAAAAAAGTTAACTGGAAAGGGTTAAAGATAATTGCATACAAGTTGGATTATCATGGTTCATCCTCACCCAAATATTAGGTACATAATAAGAAATAGGTATCAAACAAATGCCATAGCCAATCACTATCTGCAATCACTAAAGGTCACTAAAGTAGGATCTCAGAACTCAATGAACTCGAGAAAATGTTGGATGAATATCAATAATCGAATCCTAAATGATTCTTTTGTTTCAGCATGTTAGTGGGAACTTGTCACCATGCAATGGAGATAACAAGCCACACACAATGCTCACGAACTCGAGCTAATTTACAACAGCATGTATATACAAAACTGCCATCTCTTCAATTTCAGCCTCGCGTCAAGTCAATGCCAGTATGTGCGGGCACGCTTTTCAGTTCCGATGGTTGTGATCCCTGCCACACGCCTGTTGGTGAAGAGATGTAGTTTTGACCAGGTGCAGCACTGGCTGGAGAACCTAGGTTATCATTATGAGGCTCAGAACTTTCCCCGTTGGTAATGGTCCCTTGTTTAGTCTTTACTTTCGAGCCACCGCCATATACAAAACTGCACACAACCAACTGCACATCGAGCAAATAAGCACTTAAATATTAGCATCTCTGTCAACAACACTTAACTTAACACCTTGCAGTTGTTTTGACATGTTTCGGTATTGACAACATGCAAAAAGAAGAATAACCAATATCAAAGTTCTAGTATAGATTTTAGGGCAATCAAGAATATACCTGCACTGGGCTTCCAGCAATAAGCAAAGCAACACTGCCACCAATAACATGACCATCGCGGCTAGAAAGAGAAACACTTATGCCACCCGTTCTGTTGGTTGGTCCACCATCTTCAGCAACCAAGTAAGAACCGGATAAGCTTAATATTTGGAATCTTCCCTGCAAAAGAGAAACATAACATTTCTTAGTAAACCATAAAAACCAATATTGAACACATTATGTTGTACAGTAGTAGTTAGTGATTTAACCTCATAAGTTACACCGGCATCGGTAGAAGCAGGCTGTCGCAGAGTAACTTTAGAAGCTATCCCTGTGCCCGACAAGATACACAGAGCCCTTGGTCTCTGCTGTGATAACAACAATAGTTTTGCTGCGATATCCTGAAAAAAAATCGAAATTTATTATTAAGGAACAAATTGACGTGCAGCAATAGGTACAAAAGTAATTACACAACACTAATAATCTATTGTCAGTATTGCATGTAATCAACAAAAGTACTACAAACAAAATAAGAATAGAAAATCAATATTGTTTACAACAAGAATATAACAACCTCCCCAGCTGCAATGGTGATAACATGAGGCGAAAAAGCCAACCCTGCTGAACTGGTCATCCAGTCACCTAAGAAAGTGATGAATCAAGATGTTAATAGTCCCATATACTTTATGCAAAAAATAAATAAATAAGTTAGATAAGTGGAAAAGGAGAAAGGTGCAAATGTTTGTCCAATTTTTTTATGAATTTTAAATCCAGAAATGTGAATCTGGACTGAATTATTAAAAGACAGCACACAAGTCCAACATCAGAAATCATTATGATGGCATCTCCTACTCTTTAGTAGACAAATATAATAACAACAGCAACAATAACAAATGTAACAACATGAATCTTAACAAGATATTTATCAGATACTTGAATTGCCATATATGCACTAAAATCATAATTTTCATAAACAAATTGCAAATCCAATCAACAATAAATTATCAAATATCAAACATAAATATACCTAATGCAGCTAGCTGCTGCTTCCTTCCAGATCCACGAGGACGTCCTCTCCCCCGTTTCTCGGAAGGAGTAGCCGAATCTTGAGTGGAATTAGCAGGGGCAGACATCGGAGTCAGTTTCAAAGAAACACATCCATCGGGTCCGTATTTCCGCGGCCTCCCTCTTTTCTTTTTCACAGGCTCACTAGAAGGTGCACCGGAAGATGCACCAACGCTAACATCATGATTAAAATCAGCATGAGACTGAGGCTCGGACGGAAACATGGAACTAGTATCACCATTACCACCCTGAGCCCTGACATTTGGCTGACCTACAATACCATTGTTTGGCAAAGCTCTGAATCCAGGAGGTACTTGGAATCCTCCAGAGCCAGACCCTGCAGCCTCAACTCCTCCTCTATGCATGTAATAAGAACCAGGACCACCAGAGAATGCCATAGCCTCTCTACCATCCATGCATTTACTATGAGATAGTACCTATGCAATTATGTTAAAACTCAAAACCCTCTTCAATCTTCTAAAACCTAACTTCTTAAATACACAGATAATAAAAGGGCTAAACTAGATTTACTCATAATAATGAAGTAAAGATGAAAAGATTGAATTTTTAACCAAAAATCAACTAAAAATTAGGGGATCTAAATTCTGAAACCTAGTAAGACTAAAATCTAAGAACCCCACAAAAATTAAACTCTTATCCAGAAGAAAGGGAAGAAAAAAAACGTTTTTTTTTAGAACTGAAACATTGCAGTTACATTAAATCAACTATAGAGGTAGCTAAAAAAAAGTAGAAAAATTAGAAAACAAAACCCCAGATTTGAAATCTAGGGTTTAGATGGAAGAATGCAGGAGTGTGAGGAGTTAAAGGGGAAACGACAAAGAGTTTGAGTTTGAGTTGGGAAATGGGAAGAGGAAGAAAAAAATGAGTTAATAAAAAAAAAAGGCTTTTTAAAAGGGGTATGTGAAGTGTATTGTGTGAGAAACTGATGGGTGTAGTTAGAGTAAAAAGAGTGTTGCTTTAATGGGTTTTGTTTGTGTTTGTAAGTCACAAGTGACTAGTCATAACTCACAAGTGAGAATGGAGTGGTGTGGTGTGGAAGTATCTTCTGACCAAGAAGGCAGAAAGATTTAATTAGGGAGAAAAAAAAGTAAAGATAGCAACAAAAGAAGACTAGCAGGGACGGCAGAAGAGTGGGCAATGGAGGGAAATTGTGGCCTACCAAAGTACCAAAAATCATCTCCTTTTCTAAAGTACTATAAGTTTTCAACTTTTTGCTATTTGCATATTTTTATTTGTGTTAGATAAATCGATGTGTATTATAAAACAGATGAAATGGAAATTAAGTTATAAGGGTAATTACACTTCAATTTTTTTATATGAGTATAGGGATACTCAATCCTAATACAAAAGAGACTAAAAAAAATTACATAGCAAACACTGAAAACAAGATTAAGAAATACAATTTAATGGGTTAAGAAATCAAGTGTTGAGTGAGAAACATGTAGCATCACACCAGACAAATAAATCATCAACATCAAAATTGATAGTTATATGTATTTTTTTTAGGTAGAATAAATTTATGTTCAATTGTTTGAATTAATTAAAAAATAGAACGGAGCAGAAGTAACGAAACACATTTGATCATTTTTCTTCATCTTTTGTATTCTCTGATTTGTACGGAAGGATAAAATTGTTTAATTACATCATGAAATACCCAAACAATAGAATGACATATTTATTCTTATATGATATATTCGACTCAATTCCAATTCACTTCATTCCACTCTATTTCGTTCATTTACAATATCCAAAGATATATTTAACCTATGTTTAAATATTTTTAAATGAATGGAATATAGTGGAATGGTGCATAACAAAGCCGAGTGAAATAAAGATTTTATTCTATTGTTTGGATATTTTATGATGGAATGAAACGTAATTGTTATTCCGTCCAAATCAGAAATTACAAAAATGAGGGTAAGTGATTGAATTGGATGAAATGCACTTCGCCTTAAACTTGTTTTATTCCATTCAATATTATTTCATTGTATTCAATCAATCCAAACAATAAAGTAAAATATAAATTTAGGGTGGCTTAACCACCTTTTTAGTCTCTTATGTTGTACTCGAAATTTGTATTCGTCTTATAACTTTAAAAATAACCATTTGGTCCCTTAATTGTTAAAAACATACAAAGTTAATCATTTTCATTCATTTCTCTTAAACGAAAATAAATTTTTCCACGTGATACCTATGTCAGCATCTTGTGGCATCCTTAACAACATCAATTATTCTTACTGGTCTCCACCTTCCTCTTTTGTATAAACATAAGATTAGGTCAATATGTGTGTTCAATATCTTCATCTTATCCCAAATTAAAACGAGTTATATGTTCATCTTCTCCTAATTAAAAGTCGATTGAGTATTCATCTTTTTCCAAATTGAAATTAAGAAATAACAACATGTTATGCACATTCTTCTCTCATTCCAAAATATTTTAGTATTGGTGGAGATAACAATTACAATTCTAATTTGAACATCTATTCCACCTCTAAGCAATGACTGACACTTAATTGTTGGTGTAGGGATTTCGTTGTGCTTCAAATGGCCATAACATATGAATTTTGAAAAGAAATAATGGGGATGCCCATATTATAGGATGAGAAATTTAATCTTTCAGTAATTATTAATTTATTTTAAAAAAATCAACCTAGGAGTATTTTGTAACTAGGTTTGTTGGTTTTTTTTTTAATTTCTGAAGGCGTCCATTCATACTGGATGTGACTATTTTGATTAGTTTTATGATGAAGTAGAAAACGTGAAGGACATTTTAAATCATGAAGAAAAAAAGGAAATTAATTTTTTTAAACAAATTCCAAGGAAGAACGAGGGAAACATTGGTCAAGTTAAAAGGAAAATCAGAGTTGAAAGACACACAATTGAAGCAGAACATGACTCTATTGATGCACAAAACCAACAAATAAAAGAACTTGAGGTGTCTCTCAATAATACAATTAAGTAGAAGAAATTTTGAAAAAAAAATATGTTTTGAAGTTTTCATGGTGTTAATGTAGAACTCTCGCACTCAAAGTAACAAGTTCACTAACTCTAGCTTTGAACGAAGTTAACACAATCCTCATAGATACAACAATTTACTCACCACATTTTGGTTTTTGTTGGCACAATTATTACTGCACATATTTTACTGACAAACAGAAAACATGACCATATGTCCTTTGTTTCCCCTTCAATAGTTACCAAAGCTATCAGAAAAATTAGGTCGTTTAGATTTTTTCCAATAAAGGTCAAAATTTTCTCTCTATAAAACTCATTAAAAATCTCACATCTAATTTGATCATTGTCAATAGTGCTTGAAACTCTCTTTACATGTTATGTAACAGATGTGCAATATTTGGAATGAGGCTCCCAATCAACTTCTATACCTTGAATCAGTTGTACATTGAGCTTCTATACAGAAGTCGATTGTGCAAGGGAAAGGTATTAGCACCCCTCACGTCCGTGGTACTCTATGGGATCCACTCTTATTGTTCTAATCAAATGGTGTGTTCTATATAAAGCTTACGAGCTAAGGGGAAATGAATCAATAAAGAATGTATATACAAAGAAAAAGGTTTTATTAGTCATGTCTGATATGGTTGTGAACCTTTTGTGCCTACGTACCACCTTTCGTGCAATAGGGGGATCAGGGCACTCGTAGTTCACCTAGAAAATTCTGGTTGGTTTGCATTTTTTAAGTGAATAGTATTACATTCGCACTCTAGGAGTTGACATAGTGCCACCCGACCTTTGGGGAATTACGCGTCATTTTGCATGGAGTGAAAATAATACATCCTTTTAGTGAAAAGGTTTTCAAAGAAAAGCCCGAAGGCGGCCTGCAGGCAAAAAGTTTGAATTGATTGGTGGTTTTGGTGGGATGAAGCAAATGGATCCCACTAGATGGGAAACTCACTACTTCTCCGCTTATTTTAAAAAAAGAGTTTGCAAATTGAATCATAATAAAGTATGAAAATGGAAGAAAGATCAAGATTCAGTCTGGACTGATTCGCTCTACCCCACAAGACTCAACTGCATACGATTCCCATCTTTATTTATTAAGTGCTTTAGAGTTTGAAAAATAAAAAGAGTTTTAGTTTTAATGATGCAAAAGGGGAAGAGAAAAAGTCTAGGGAAAACTAACAATCCTAATATTATCATGCAATGATGGTCTTAAAATTTGGATACAAAAGGGATATATCTACATGAGTTAGCATGCAAGGTTTACAAACCTAGTGTTTACCTCGATTTGAAAATGAAACAAGTGAACCTAAGGGAACATACAAAGGTGTAAGGAAGTAAACATAAACAAATATGCTAACAAGCATCAAGCATGAGCTATCTGTACATGAATCCAAGGTAGATGAGTCGAAAGACCCTTCTTCCACTAGAATAGCTTAAGCATAAATCGAGTAACAACTCGAAGCATAAACGTTAAGAAACGTGAGCTAAATCTCATTGAAATGATGACAAGGGGTGGGGCTGATTACGAGCCCTTATTCCACTTTATTAACTCAAAGGACAAGAGAAGAACGATTTGAAGTATCAATGTATAACGCGAGCTAAGAATGACCAAGGGACTTGAAATGTGGGGGCCGATTGCAAGCCCTCATTCTACTTTTATTAACTAGATTGCAAGCACAAAGTAAAAGGGGAATGGAATTGCCTTCTTTGAGGTCTTTAAACAGACATAATTTGCCCCTTTTTTAGGTCTTTTACAAACATAATTTGCCCCTTTTTGAGGTCTTTTATAAACAGAAATGTAAACAAATAAGTTTCACAATGCCTACAGGAGTAGGTCTTCATACATGCATCTCTATTCCTACTTTTCATGGCAAGGAAATCAAAAGACAATGCAGAATAAAACATAATAAGAAAAAGTACCAAATGAACAAAATTTTGTCGTAAAGCGTAATAAAGCGTAAGAAACCTAAAGATCTTCGCGAAGGCTTCACCAATAAAGAAAAAGTCAGGAACCGAATACACAAGAATAAGCGATAAGCATCAGAATATCGTCAATGTGAAAATAAACCACAAACGGAATGTGCATCAAGCAATATCCACACATCAAATAATAAACTTGCGTAAGATAAAAATATCGACAAACAAAAGCAAATCACAAGTCTCATGTAATTGAACTAAATCAAGAATTAATTAATCGACTAAATGTAGATAGGAAAAAAACGGGGTGAATCGCTCTTTGGTAGAACCTTAGAAACTTACGCAAACCCACAAAATGAGTTAGTAATAATAAAGAATATAACAAAAGTTAAACATTCACATCAAAACTCGAATTGAGATAAATCATGAAGAAACAAGTTTCCAACAAGTATCGGAGCCATAAAACAAAAACACCGGGCAACATCATTTTGGTTCATGAAACTCTCAAAAAATAAAGTTA